TGGGGTGAAGATGCTGCAGCACAAGCACCACGGCACAAGCTGGCACGGGGCAGCATCACTCACCGGCGTACGCCCTGGCTTTGGCTTTAGAGGCACGGGTGCCCTGGGAGAGCGGGCGGGTCTTCACCATCAGGTGCTTGGTGCTGAGGGCATCGCATGCTGCAGGGAGAGAGCAGCGGTGTCTGCGTGTGGGGCCAGCCCCATGACCAGAATCTGGCCGTGGGAGAAGCAGGGATGACTCTCCTCTGCCCATCCCCAGTCAAACTGGGAGCAGTACCTGTTATGGGGCTGGAGAAGATCCCCAGGGCGTGCGTATCATCCACCCACTTAATATCAAAGCCTTTTTTCCTGCCAGAGAGAGGGAAGCTCAGCAAGGCATCGGCAGCGGGTGGGCTGGGGTCCAGAGCACAGCCCAGGCATGGGACCCCAGGCCAGGGATGGGACACCGCCAGCAGACTCACTGATAGCTGCAGAAGACGCGCATCAGGTCCTCGGTGCGGAAATCCGAGGGGAAATCATAGATCTCGATGACGTGGGGCAGCTCGGCATCACTGAGGTCTGGCGCAGCGGGCTCAGCCCCGTAGTAGTCAAAGCGAGGCGACTGCTGGCTCTCCCGGTGCTTCTTGCCCCCCGAGAGCTGCAGGGGTGGGAAAAGCATGGCACTGAGCAACCCATGCCTGCTTGCCCCACACCAGCTCCTCCTGGCAAGCTTTCCCTGGGAAGCGGTCCAGCCCCTGCTCCCCGCACCGGCCTCTGCAGATGGATTCATGGCATTGGGATATTAGGAGTTATCGACCAGGGCTCTCATGCCACACATTTGCTTTTCCCATTACCAGCTTCCCTTCATTTGCTGTGCTCTGCATTCCCACCGGGGACGCGGTGGGAATGGCACCAGTGAGACAGCACACGTGCCCCCAGCATAGCCCTCCTGCCCTGGGGACGTGCTGACCCGAAATACACTTGGGGAGCAGCGGGGAGCAGGACAGCAAGGCCAGGAGGAAGGACTGACGTCTGCCCACCATGCAGGAACACTGGACTCGGCCAGCCCCAGCTGCAGCGCATGCAGGGAAGCAGCCCGGCGGCACCCCCGGCGTCGGGATGGAAAAGCCAGCGCTCCCCTGAGGAGCAAGTTCTGGTGGTTAATCACCTGCACGGCTAAAAATTTATGCCTTATTTCTCATTTAAATTTGTCTGGCTTCACTTTCCAGACGGCAGTTCTTGTTCTACCTCTCTTGCTGGATTAAAGAGCCCTCGGTCCCCAGCCCCCTCCCTGTGACGGCACTTACTCACGGTAATCAAGTCCCTTCTCAATCTTCTTCTTGATAAGCTAAACTGGTTGTGCATGGTTAGTATCTCACAGTGGGACACTTTCTCCAGCCCTAAAAGATGACAGCTGTAGCACTCTTCCACCTTACCCATTTTTAACCTTCATTTTAAAACATAGCCAGCAGCTGCCCACTGCCACGACACGGGGGGTGCAGCTGCCCCTGCTCCCCCTCCGCCCCGCACCACCAGCACAAGGTGGGCCACTCTGCATTGCCTGCTGATCTCCCAAACAGTGGGGGTGGACGCG